TCAGAGACTTCAAATGAACCCTAATATAATACTATTACACTTAGTAGATGAAGATGATCAGGAGGCTAAATTATCTACTCTCACCTCTACACTATTAGCCACAGCCAGACTGACACTTGCAGCTGCGTGGAAGTCACCAAATCCACCATCTATAGCTACGTGGAGAGAAAAATGCTGGGAACATTTTGTAATGGACCGTATTGCCAATGCTTTTGAAGAGAAGCAACGCAGAAAACCGATCACACACTCCAAGTTTGTCAAAACTTGGTTCCCACTTATTCAGTACATGACAGAACAAGAACTAATACCATCCAACCCTGCATATATTGAATGGCTTCGTTTCTAACAGTAGGTAAGGCTTCGTTTGAGCGCCTTATTCTTCAGCTAGCACATTAAAAACACATAACACACACATAGAAGTATACTTTATGATTTGAGTTTGTGCAATTTGACGACAGCTTATCTATTTTTCTACTTATGTTTACTTTTGTATTACAGTACTCGTTAACAAAAAAAAAGATGCTGATAGTTGTATAAATTGTTTATCTCATCTTGAATAAAGTTTATCTATTGAAGTACTTCATTCCACAATGAAAGGCCAGGATCCTCCACCCCTGCCCTTCTCAGGACTACACTGTGCAATAGAGTGTGCTTAAAGTAACTGCTCATGGGAAAGATAATCCAGCAAGTTTCCAATATCTTTAAGGGTTCTCAGGGGCAGCGAGGTCCCTTTATGGACCAATCAAAAAGTGAGATATCCATTCAGAATTCTACCCACCAAAGCAGGCTTTGACCAATAAACTTATTTCCCTTAGGGTGTTTTTCTTTATGTGTTTTGCACACATCCCCAAAATGGTGAGGTGTGCAATGAGGGAGACATGTCAGGCTGGGGAAATTCTTCTTTGATACCACATTGGTTTGATAAGTTACTGTGACAGATGGGCCAGAGGTGAAATGTCTATGCAGGTTCTCTCTCACCCCCTCACCCCTTCTGGAAGGTCAACAGGCTGCTCCATCTTCATGTAAGGGAGGTTTGTGGTTTACAGCAAACTCAAAACAGGACAGGTCTATTTCTTTCATGAAAGAGGGAATCTGACCATAATAACTGGAAGGCTAAAGGAAGTTTGCTTTCAAATAAGCAACTGAATAGAAAATTGCTTTTGTGCCCGTTCTTGGCTCTCTGCCAAGTAAACAGGGTACAGACCTAGTTGTCTGCAGTGTTTGCTGTTAGTCACACTGAGTTTGCAGAGATAAGACAGGATATAGATATTTTAAATATGTTTTATAGGAAAGCTAAAAATTCAAGAAGGAGACTTGGAATATTCAAGGGGGGCAGAGAACAGGCCCTCCTTTTGACTATTGCCTCACTGATTAAAACTGCAGTTCTAAATGCTTTTGACAGCCTTACTTTTGATATGGAAGCCACTGATGCCTTCTACATCGGTCTTCCATTAACCCACAGCCAAGAATGCTTAAACTCAGTGATGGGATACAAACAACCATTTTGGAAACTGCACATACAGCCAAGCCTATATACAACTGAAAAGTGGCAGGGAGTGGGCCAAAGGGTAGGTCCCTGGAGGATAGCTCTATCAGTGACTACTAGCCATGGTGAAGAAGAAGAAGAGATTGGATTTATACCCCGCCCTTCACTACCCAAAGGTGTCTCAGAGCGGCTTACAAACTCCTTTCCCTTCCCCTCCCCACAACAGACACCCTGTGAGGTAGGTGAGGCTGAGAGAGCTCTTGACAGAAACTGCCCTTTTTCAAGAACAGCTCTTATCAGAACTACGGCTTGCCCAAGGTCATCCAGCCAGGTGCAAGTGCAGGAGTGGGGAATCAAACCCGGTTCTCCCAGATTAGAGTCCGCACACTTAACCACTACACTAAACTGACTGAAGGGAGCCTCCATATTCAAAGGCAGTAAGCTATTTAATGCCAGTGTTCAGAGGCATCAACAGGAGAAGGCCTCTATGCCCTGCCTGTTGGCCCTTCAGGGCAACTGGTTGGCTACTGTGTGAAACAGGATTCTAGAGAAGATGTACCACTAACTTGATCCAGTAAGGTTCTTGTGCTCTTAAGAGAACAGAGAGCTCACACAAATGTTGGAAACTGTGGAGCTTAACTTGCATTACTGACATTGATGGGTGAGACAGATGATGAGAAGTAATAACACCAAACACAAGGAAGTCGATGGTATCACGGTAACTGACCCTGAAAACGTGCAGTCTTTTATTGAGCTAGACTGTTTTATCATTCACATAGCAATAACCTCACCTTCATAACATTTAACTACCTGTCAGCCACCACAAAAAACCTTGATGTACATTTGTTATTAATTTCAAAGGAGATGGCAATTTTTGTTCAGGAAATTAAAAACTCTCAATAACTGTATTACTCATCAGTAACACTTGCAGCTGATGAATTATGCTACTAATGTCCTATTTTTTCAAAATAGAAGGAAGCAATCTCTCTTTCTTCTTAGTCATAGCGCGATAAGGATTTTGAATGACACACTCCTTGCATTCATGCCGCTTTGCATGAAGTCATTTTTCATTTAAGAGGGCTTTGACTATTGTAAGTTAGATTCCAAAAACCTTGGAACTATTTTAGTTTTAGATAAATGTAAACCCTTTCAAACCAGGACCTTGGCACTACTATTTCTGAGGAAGACAGTAATAATCCCTTTGTTTGATCATGGGTATAAATATATAAAACCCTGATTTGGATGGGAAGCACAAACCATAATTTGTTGCTTCTGATGTTCAGATGTTTGCTCTAAAGCAGAAGTCAGGAAGAGATTCTGAGCATGGTGTGGAGAGGAGTGGAAGATGGGAGTGTATGAGCAAAGGTTTCGGTAGTGCCAGACTATGGCTTAAACATTACATACAAACTGAGCATTGCACCATGTACCATTTTCCATAACATTATCTGGACCAAGGATTTGGATCACTAGACATTTCTTGAGATTAAAAAGAATGACCTGCACTCAAGAAGTGTGTGGTCTCTCTGCAGTTGTGGCACGGGGTGGGTGGGAGTCTATGCTATAAAATTCAGTTTTCAGAATTGTCTTTCAATTTCCATTTTTAAAAGGGATCAGGTCTCTCTTCCATTGTCTGTCGCTGAGTTTGTCACATCTCGATTCAGTAGGAAAGACACCCTCATTAAATCACATGCCTGCAGCACAGAGAATGTCTGTGTAACCAGAAACAAACTACAGAAGTGGGACCAACTGGCATTTGGCAGAATGGCCTCCTTCCCCCACCCACCCACCTTCCCCCCAGCACTTCCTCCACATTGCAATTTGCTCCCGACAAAGGCGGGAGGAAAGGAACGGGCTACGTTTATGCATGAACCCCAAATAATTTACTTTATTAAAAATAAAACTCAACAAATCGAACAGAAGGAACAAACCAGACCACAGGTCCCTTACTTGTTTTAGTTACATCTAGAAATGTGACCGATAACAGTCTTAATAATATACAACACAGTTCAAAGAATTTAAAATAAACCCCACACAGATACACATGCGCAAGATGGGGCATGGTTTTTCCTGACCCAACCTCCCCCAGCCACCAATACAGACACATATACCCTTGCCAGTAGCTCTCTAACTTTCTCCTCAAGCTGAGGAGCAGCATTTCCAGCTACAGCAGGAGAGAAGAGGCTGTGAAACTGCTTCCATGCACGGAATGTAGACAAGATCCAATCCAGCATCAACAGCCAGAATCACCCTGATTAATCCAACCTTGACAGAGCTAGGAAGCTAAGCAGGGTCAGCTGCAGTTAGTACTTGAATGGGGGCAGGTTTGCAGAGGCAGGCAATGGCAAACCACATCTGCCTTGAAAACACTATGGGGTCGCTGCAACTTGATGGTATATTTAAGCCAATATTTCTAGGTCAATTTCTGCGTCTCATTTGGAATGGGACTGTCACTTAAAAACAAACAAACAAGCAAATGTCTACTCTTTACAGCTTCTAAGAAATGCAGAAAAGTATCTGCATTTTCATTTCACATGCGCAGTTCTGACTACAGAACCGTAGTTGTTCATTTGCATCAGAGATGGAGCTACAGAGCTTTTGCAGCCAAACCTACAGTTGCAAAAGGTGTGTGTAAACCAACACTTCACCATGACTCTCCATATAACATCTCCAGAGGAGTTAGCCGTGTTAGTCTGTTCCTGCAAAATAGTAAAAAGCCCAGTAGCACCTTTAAGACTAACAAACTTATGCAACAATAAAGTTTGTTAGTCTTAAAGGTGCTACTGGCTTTTCACATATAACATCTTGGCTCTGCTGCAGAGAGCTGCATGTCTTTACTGGGATTTTTAAGAGCTTGGTGCAACCTGCTGTATGAAAACAGCGCTATAGCGTCAAGGATAATACTAGTGGTGGTGACTAAAGTGTATACCATTTAAGCCTTCTGTTTATACCACCTTTCCCCCTTCTCAGACAATCTGATGCTTCAATTGCCATTTTTGGCTGCTTGGAGCGTTTATTGTTAAGCACTGCTAGGAGATAGGACAAATCAAGCAAGACAATGTAGTTCTTTCCATTCTGTCCCTTGTGGCTCAAACTGAACAGGAGGCTACGTTACTTGCTGAACAATTGCACTAACAAGTTATTAACGGTAAGCAACAGAAGACTACATACACGCTAGAGAAGACTACATAATGGGAAAACACAACCGGAGCGTCTAATTGAGAAATAGACATTGTTGCTTATATTATTGATCTTTGTAGAAGATGAATACATCTCTGTGTTCTTGCACTCTTGGCAATAGGTTATAATTTTGTATTATTAATACTTTTAGAAACATATTCATGTATACAGGACCATTCATGTACATGGCACTTAACACAGTATCAAAACGCCCCCCACCCCAAGACTGGTCCTAGACTCAGTGAGCTTACAATCTATGTTTTGGAAGCAGAAGAATGGATGAAAGGAAGCAAAGGAAAAGAGAAAACGGAGAGGCAAAAATTACAGAGAGCTGCAATATAATGGTTACACACACATGGTTGAATCCAGCCAGTTTCTTCATTCAGTCCCACCCAATCCATTCCAAAGGACTACAGCCTCCATCCCCAATGGCATTTGTCCACGTAGGCCCCTTAAACCCAAGCACAGCCTTTTTTGACACAGAAGGGAACGCCTCCTTCCCCAAAAGCTGGTTGGAGGAGCCAATCCATTTAGACTTAATTTTAGTCGGCCATACGAGTGAGAGGCTAGGCCCAAGGCTTGCCAGAAAAGGTCGCTTTTGAAGAGGAGTTGAAGGAAAGAGGTAGCAGGGTTCACAGACAGCTAGCAACTACATGAGGAGTCATTTCAGAGAACTGAAGACTGCTGTGCAGCTGGTCAGTGCAGCCTGATGCAGAGTTTCTCCAAGCTAAGACCGCTGATTTCTATGGGCTGGAGCAACTCTGCCTAGGATTGCACTGTGTATGCGGTAGAGTTTTTGAGATGGAGGACTGAAGGTCACAGACAGACATATCACAGGAAATAAAGGCCACAGGCGCTTTCCCCCAACTGTTCAACAGTCATAGGAAACTGTCACATATACATTATAAGAAAGAACTCTGGGGAAAGTGACGAGCTGCAATTGATATATTACTTACAATAACAGTTAATAAAGCTAAAGAGCCTGCCCGCCATTCAAAAACTCAGGATTTTTGTATGGGAAATGGCAACAGCAATGTTACAGAGCCACATCATTAAAACAAAGTCCATAGGTACACGGACACGACGGGCAATCCTTTATGAATCAAATGTGTGTGCACAAATACTGATCTCAGGAATACAAGATTCTTCCACACATATTTGGTCTTCTGCTTCATATTTCATAGTTCCTGAACTTCCGCAAAAGTTCGGATGGGGTGTCACCAGACCAACGGAAACGCAAGTGCCAGCCATTGGGATCCGAGAATCCTATAGGAAGGGCATTGAGGAGAGGGACAACAGAAATGGTATCAATGAGGAATTGTGTGTGGCTTCCAGTGAGAGGGCTTACAGGACCCCACCCATGTATCATCACCAATCCTGCAGGCATCCAACCCCTTCCGAAAGAGGAGCAGCAGCAACAGTCGTCAGATCGAAGCAACAGGGCTGGCCATGCAGTGTCCTTTCACACAGCAGTCACCGATCCCCAACACACATAACGAATATTAAGATTAATCAGTGGTCTGACACATCGAAGATAGAAACTGAGTTTCTCTAAGGTTCAATGAGCAGATGTTACCATCAAATTGTCATCTCCTCACACAATGTTTTATGAGAAGAGAACAAGTGAGTTTCTGGAACTCTCTATTCTGTGCCCAGTAGCCAGTTCATATGCACATGTAAATCATTTGATTCATGGTTGAACAAATGAACCAGCAGCAGTGGAAAGCACTGTATCAGAAAGGATAAGGCAGTTCCTTCCATTGGCACTTGACCTGCGATGGCCCTCACCCACACTTGTGAGTCACCAAATGATCTTTCGTTTGTCAAGAGACAATCATGGGCATGTAAAACGGTTCCTTCTGAGAAATGTGAAGTCCAAACAACAGTTCTGGGAAAGGCAGGTGCCCATGAGCCTTGCAAAATACCACTGCTTCACACCCCATCTGTAATATCCTACATTTCCTTGGGGCTTGCTACCTGGGATGGATAAGGGGATCCAGATAAATCTGGGCACAGAGAGCATATGGCTTGCAGGGATCAGGTAGACTAACAAGCTTGTCTGATGCCCATGCAACCCCACCCCAAGCAAGGACATGTCCTAAAAGACTTGTAGTTGTCCATATTTTGCTGATCTGGGCCCACTTTCAGTCATTAACTGCAGCTCCTGTTCTTTCTAGACACTGAAGTACCTGGTATCACTTACCCGGGAAATCAGGGCTTTTTGGCAACAGCAGCTTTCCATCAGAGGGATCAAAATCTCTTGGCCCACTTTGGTCTTCCAATAGTCTGCCATTGTTATCTCCCACCTCCTGGAGGCACTCATTTGTCTTCTTGTGATTGAGATTTAAATCTGGAGCTTCTAGCATTGGCTCTTTTTTACCTCTGACAGCCCAGTGCATGGACTGGACCAAAAAAAGAGAAAAAAATGTGACATTTAACTGCATGGATTGTGTGACATTTATTTATTTATTATTTGCATTTGTGGTTTTTATTGCATCACAGCTTTGTTTGGTTGCCAAAACAGTGACTCAAGAACAGCAGCAGCAGCAGCAGCAACAACAAAAGCAGAAAGTGGCACATATCAAGGAGCATCTTTAAAGGTGTCAGTAAAAGGGAGAGATCAGCCAGATCTGAGAGGGGAGCAACAACTCTAGCCACTACACCACACTGCCTCTCAGTTCATAGCAAAGACCTGAACAAACTGGTGACTCCCCAGGTTGCACTTTTAAGCATTCACTAGATGAGCTCTCAGGCACTTTCCTGTGGTCTAGAATTTCATGTTTTGAGACAGAAGTTCAACATAAGGTGCCCCTTGTCTGACGCCAGAACGTTTTCCACTTGGACTCTTCCCTCCGTTCAGCTCTATGTGGGAAACTTCTAAAAAAACCACCCTTATTTGTGCTGTTTTTATCCTGGTCGTTGCTCAACAGATTACTGAGGACCTAGAGTCGGACTTGACTGGCTTTCGAGCAAGGGAACCTTTACCTTTACCTTTAGATGAGCTCTCAGGCACTTTCCTGTGGTCTAGAATTTCATGTTTTGAGACAGAAGTTCAACATAAGGTGCCCCTTGTCTGACGCCAGAACGTTTTCCACTTGGACTCTTCCCTCCGTTCAGCTCTATGTGGGAAACTTCTTAAAAAAAACCCCTTATTTATGCTGTTTTTATCCTGTTCCTTGCTCAACAGATTACTGAGGAGGCTCACAAGTTTGTTTGAGCAAAACAACCAGCACAGGGAACTGCAAAAGAGTGTTGAAAGAGGAGGGCCCTGACCTGGACAGCCCAGGCAAGCCCGATCTCATCAGATCTTGGAAGCCAAGAGCCAAGCAGGGCCGATCCAGGCAAGAACTTGGATGGGAGACTCCTGAGGAATACCAGGGCTGGGACGCAGAGACAGGCAACAGCAAGCCGCCGCTCTGATATGTCCGAGCCCCACTAGGGGTCGCCGGAAGTCAACCATGACTTCCAGGCACGCAGACACAAAATACTCACCAAAAAAGTAAATTAAAGAGGAGGGAGGCACAGCAGGGCTTCTGCTCCTGATCTCAGTCGATAGGGGAGTCTGTATCCGAGTAAGGTTGCCAGGGCCTGGCTGGGAAACTTTTTGAGATCTGGCAGTGGAGCCTGGGGAGGGTGGGGTATAATGCCACAGCGCCCGCCCTCCAAGGCAGCCATTTTCTCCAGGGCCGCCTGGAGATCGCTTGTAATAGCGGGAGGTCTCCAGCCACCACCTGGAGGTTGGCCACCCTAGTCCCCGCTGTTTTTCCTCCTCTCCTCCAAACTGTATTGATCAATGGAGAACTTTTGCCTCCCACAAACCCATCCTGATCATCCTCCTCCCCAAGGAGGAAAAATGCATCAGCCCCGACTAACCGTTTTGATGGAGTCCCCAACCTTAACAAGAGGATCAGGCCATGGTACAGAATAGCCTAAAGGAGTCTCTGTGTGGCAGAAGTTGATAATTTGTTATTACTAAAACAGGCAATGTGATAATTAGTGAACGACAACCGGTACAGAATAGCCTAAAGGAGTCTCTGTGAGGCAGCAGATAATTCGTTATTACTAAAACAGGCAATGTGGTGTTTAATGGGGATAATTAGTGAACGACAACTGGATGAACAACGGACTGTACCAGCTTCTCACAATATAATCAGTGATCGACTGCACCAGTGCTAAAATGATGGTGGAAAGATGGGGGGGGGACTCCTTTGTGAAATTCACAGGCCCTGCCTCCTGTCCCCGTCCATTTAGTTTCCTGAAAACAGTTACTAAGAGGGCTACCACAAAAAAAGAGGGGCAAAGGCCCCTAATTGGCCCCCATAATTTGTACACTGGCTTGCACAAACAATGTCTGTATGGCTAAACCAAGCATCTAACATACCAAACCCTTCTCCATCCTCACTGTTTAGGAAAACAAATGCTTCAACTTGCAGCCAGATGCATCCATAATAGGAAAAAATGCTTATACTCGTTTTCAAGACTTACAGTCATGATAGCTAGAAAGCTTCAGTGACCTAGGGCAACCTGATGGTTCCAGGGACAGAGAGACCACAGCTTGTTGGGCATCACACACACAAAAGAGCATCACTTCATTTAGGTCAGTGGTAAACCAGCTGAACAGCCACAATTACTTTGGTGGCCCAAGATATGCACCACAGGGAGGCTTGCAGCTTATCTCTTCCTGCAGAGGTGGCTGTTCTAGGGTGGGAACCACTTTCCAGCCACAAGTACCACAAGACAAGGCCCTGGCTCACATTCCTAAAACACAGGACAGGTGCCAGATGTAGGGACAGTGCTCAGAACAGCCGCAGATGGCATCTCAAAAAGCCGCATGGGGGCCCTTCAGCCCCTGAGTATCACGGATATAGATGCACCTCCAATAGCTCACCAGCATCTGATCTGCATACCTTATGTACACACCAAAGTATTATTTTGGTCATTGTTTTACAGTGACCTCACTTTTTCTAGAACAGAAAAATTCTTAATGGTTACCAAGGATGTGGACTGGAGTTCATATTTGTGTAAAGGTTACAAAGATTTCTATTTTATCTATGAGTCACCTTTCTATTCTACCGTCATTATTATTATTCATTTATTCCTGTTTACTGAAACAGAGCTTTCTTTTGAAATGTGCTGAACTCAAATGCAAAATGGAATTGACAAATTCAAATTAAACACCATACGGACTGCTTTTTCCACTCTCTTGGCTGTTTGGCAACTCCAGTACAGGAAACAGTCAGTATTATAGCAGGAGAGGAATGAATGACGCAAACCATATGAAATGTCTGTACGCACACTGGAACCATAGACACACAACTGATGTTTCTTGGAGGGACAGCACACGTAACTCACCCTTAATTACATGATGCTAATTTTGTCATTACTTTTACATTTACAGGCTAAGTCCACATTACACACAAAAGGTCAGTAACTGAGCCATTTTTAAAAAGAGAGAAAAACACAGGGCTTTGAGAGGAGAAGCCACCAGGTGGGTGCTTCACTTTTTCTACTGCTTCACTACTTCAAATTGCCCAGATTCTGAGCCCCCACCCCACCCAGGAGGGACAAGAAACCCTCATGATACAATTTCAATTGCAGAAAGGGCTGGCGTGGAAGAGATGGAGGACCTGGCTGCCACTGTGTCAAAAACAGTGCTGAGGTTCAGTAGCATGGACTGCTGCATAACGTATGGTAAGCCCATTAGAGAACACTAACAAGTCATGCTCATAAGCACGAATAGAGTTGCCAACCTCCAGGAGGCACCCGGAGATCTCCTGGGATTATAACGGATCTCTAGGTGATTAAAATTTGTTCCCCTGGAGAAAATGGTGGCTGCTTCGGAGGATGGATTCTATGGCATTAGATCCTGCTGAGGTCCCGCCACTCTCCAAACTGCGCTCTCCCCAGGGTCCACCCCCTGTAATTTCCAGGTATTTACCAACCCAGAGCTGCCAACTCTATGCCCCACAGAAGTCTTCACCACCTTGAAAAGAAGATTTATGCGTGTTTACTTGGAAGTACACTGCATGGGGTGTGCTCCCAGACAAGCATGCACAGGAGTAAACGTAATCCTTACAAGCAGATCTTTGCTACTTTTACCTTGAGATCTCTCCTAGTATTGTCCTCTAAACATCTCCGGGAGTGTTAAAACAATTCTAACCTCTTTGCTTCCTCAACAGGTCATAAAAACATCTGTTAACCTGCCTGCCTCAGTCACCCACTCCTGTTCTAGCCTTGCCAACTTTTAGATGGGTCCCTTTTAAATGTCCTTTCAGTATCAGTTTGATCTGCAGCAATTATTAGGTGATATTATTTAGCTCCATGCTGTGAAGCGCTCCAACTGTCCATTTCTACATACTAAACTATAAAGGGACACGACTTGGTTTGGTGTAGTGGTTAAGAGCATGGACTCTAATCTGGTGATTCCCCACTCATGCAGCTGCTGGTGTGACCTTGGGTCAGTCACAAGTTCTCTCAGAGCTGTTCTCTCGAGAGCAGTCCTTGAAAGAGCTCTCTCAGCCTCACCTACCTCACAGGGTGTCTGTTGTGGGGAAGGGAAGGGAAAGGAAACTGCTCTGAGACTCCAAGTGAAGGGCGGGGTATAAATCCAATCTCCTCCTCCCTCACCCCCTGGCCTAGGGTTGCCAATCTCCAGGTGGCATCTAAAGATCTCCCACTATTATAATCCAGAGAATCAAGATCACTTCCCCTGGAGAAAATGGCTGCTTTGGAGGGTGGGTTCCATGGCATTACACCATGCTGAAGTCCCTCCCCTCCCCAAACCTCACTCTCCCCCCAGGCTACACCCCCCAAAAATCTCCAGGTATTTCCCAGCCCACAGCTGGCAACCCTGCCCTGGGCAGATGGCGATCTTACCCAGTTCTAATGGCATAATTTTGAAGCAAGTCCAATTAAAACTAATCAGACTCAGGGATGGCTTTTTTTATGGAAGCACTTGCCGTGGGCACCCATATTTCAGAAAGGTGCTTTTTCTTGCCTACAATCACCTCCTTGGTGTGTCAACAAACAAAAAGTGCTTATTGAAGTAGTGATAAGGGACTTCAGCAGGGGCAGACTGGCCATTAAGGCTACCAGGAGAAGTCCCAGTGGGCCTGTGACGAAATGGCTGAGGGGTGGGGCCAGGGAGAGAGTGACTGTTTGGCTCCTGAGGAAAAAAGTCAGTCTCAGCCTGGTCTTCAGCGTGAGCGGCAGGCTTAAGGAAGAGCGCAGGGGGGGCTCCTGTCACCAGAGACTCTGAGGGCAATCCAGGCCACTATTGACCGTGGTGGAGAGCCAGGAGGGTGGCAGTGCTGGTGGCCAGTCCTGTGGAGAAGGGCTGGAGTTTCTCTCCATAACCGGAGAGGAAAACGCAAATCCTGGCCTGAGGCCGCAATCCACTACCAAGGTAGAGTGGGTGTGTGGTAGGGGCAGAAGACTTGCGTTTCGATCCTGTTTGTTTTGTGTGCCCAGGTTGTGTTGAAGTGCCTGAGTTTATTTTCTATGCCCAATATGTATATAGTTAAATAAATCTTCCTTTGTTGAGTTTAAAAGCCTGGTGTGCCTTAACCACATAGTCCTCCTGCTCTACACGTTACCAGGGGCAAAAGGAGGCCAGGGGACTCAAGCGAGCCTAAAACTGGTGGGTTACCAACTCTCCAGGGGTTGCCCAAAGATTGAGATAACCACTTCCCAAGGTGGGAAATTTAGCCAGAGGGGTCTCACTGTCCCTCAAAAAAGGCGGTGACTTAATTCAGTGAGTGGTGGCAGCAGGAACGAAGAGAAATAGTCCCACCAGGCAGGGTGGGAAGGACAAAACAGGGGCTTGTAAGCCACAGGACAGCACCTCGGTCTCCCAGGGCTGAGGGTGGGTCCCCGTTTCGCCACAGGGCCAATGGCCTGGGGGGAGGGGGGCCTCCCCGCTGCTGCAAGGACCATCCGGGCCCCAACTAAGAGGCAGCCCTCCCTGTGTGGGGCAGATAAGCAGCTGCTGCCGTGGCAAGCCAGTGGACACCGTCCCCCTTTGGGGCAGGACAGCAGTCACCGCAGCAAGCCAGCCTGCTTTTCCTCCTTTCCCTCCTTTCAGTACAGGGAAAATGCTGCAGGAGTCAGGCTCTTTCCAGGGCTCTTTTTTGCCTTCCAGTCCACTCCGAACTTCATACTGACAACACCTCAGGCATGCTGGTGGTGGAAAATGCTGTCCGGTTGCAGCCGATTGATGGTGACTCGGTAGGGCCTCCGAGGCAAGAGATGGTCAGCGGTGGTCTGCCGTTGCCTGGCTCTGCATTGCAACCCTGGACTTCCCTGGTGGTCTCCCATCCAAAGACTAGCCAAGGCCGACCCTCCTTAGTTTCCAAGCTCTGACAAGACTGGGCCAGCGTTGTCTAAAGCTGGACAGGTTGTTTTTTCAAAAGAGTTGCCTAGCAATAGCTAATCTGGAGGAGAAATCCTGGATCGTGGCTTTAGGCACCAATGCACATTCCTGTAACAAACAACCAAGCTACAAAATCTAGCAGCTGTTTTTTTTCCCCTGTATCCAGGAACAATGCTGAAGTATCACAGCAAGGTATTTCAACTTGCCAGTAAAAAGGAAATATGCTCCATCAATATTAACTAGACAGATACCATCCCTTCCCTTCCCAATACATGATGTATAACCCGTTACATCCTGCACCAGAGGACAGCCAGCGGGGGCATTTGGTGAGCCTGAGAGGTAACCAGGGGAGGCCCAGTGCCCCAGGAGGACCACTATCCTGCCAGGGCACAAGGCAGCTGAGAAGGCTGGATGAGGGACGTCTGAATCCTCAGTCCGTAAACCCCGCCTCTCGGCGGAACGGAAGAGAACGTCGTCTCTGCCATATATGATGCCAACGCTATTGAATTCTTAGAAGAGAAAGGTTTGGGGGGGGACGGGGGGGGACACACCACATACCAGCTTCAGGGTTTTCAGGATGCTTGTCAGGATGACATTCAAGGGCTCGGACTTTGAACTCAGAAATGATTTGTTCAACCTGGACAAAATAATAATAATAACATCAACATTGATCTGAATATTAAGGCAACAAGTTGGAAGAATAGTTGAAACTTTCTTACGGAAAACTCCTGTGGCTTTTAAAGGGCCACTTCATTATGATTCTGCGTGTAAATAAGGTGTTATATAGAGTAAAATGTATACCTACAACATCTTTGCACATGCTTGTACTCAACAGCTAAAACTGGCAACGGACTCCTAACATGAGACCACAGGAAAACAACTTATGCAATCTTCCCCCCCACACACACACACAGACATCTATAATATCTACAGGGCACCTTCTCTGCTTCTCCCTTCAACCCCCTCCTCCTGGGAAACCACTTGCCTAATTAAGCCTTTAGCTTGGTCCCTCAGCCTCATACACAACCCCAATGAAGCCTAAGGCCCGTTGTGCATCTCGCATTCGCTCCGTTGTTTTACCAAACCCACACTGGAACAGAAAAAGATGCCGCTCAAAACCACATTCAAATACCCCGTACTGACTGCCGAGTCACCCCTGACCGGCCATAAAATGGCCATTAAATCTATGCAGACGGTACCATAAAACAGAGATCAAAGGAAGTAAAACCGGCATGGAGTGTGGAGGCTACCATAAAATCCAACAATCAAAGAAGGTGATAGTGGCATGCAATGTAGAGGGGAATTTCTGTTCCAATGTGGGTTTGGTAAAACAGCGGAGCGAATGCAGATGCAGAATGGGCCTTTGAATGTGGTTTTGAGCCGCATCTTTTTCTGTTTCAGTGTGGGTTTGGTAAAACAATGGAGCGAATGCTAGATGCAGAAGGAGCCCTTATCCTTTTCTTCCTTAAGTGAATCGTTCTCATGGAACAGATCAGATTACAGAGCTAGCAGGCAGCTCATTGGATAAAATTTCCTTCCAGATGATTTCAGCAGCACTACCATTCTCTGTGTTCTTTTTGCACTGAAACGATTCTAGTTCATCAGATGCAGCATCTCCGTTAACCCCAGAACAAACATTAAACTGAACTCTTCCCATCCAGCAGCCCTTACTTGAAGTCATGTCAGCAAACATTTAAAGACATTTTCCAGACTGTAAGAAGCGAGATTATGCTCTCCAATTTATTAGACAGGCTTTGGCATGTGCGAAGACACAGTCATCTGGAACAGAGCTGATCCATGAAGCTAGCACACTTTGCATCACATCTACAGAAGCAAGAACTCTTTGGTCACACAACGTGAATTATGATGGCAGGAAAAACCCCAAATCACCCTAAAATCCACTAGTAAGGCTATACCTGCTTCATGGTCATCAAGGAGGCTCATGAGATCCCGTGAACACCAAGACTGCCATTTTCTGATGTCAGTCAAGGTCTTTCTTTTGAACACAGCAACGGCACTGATTCTATGATTTTCAATCAGCACGATGTATAGAGTTTTCAGGTATTAATAGTACCAGTGAACTAATACCGGGCAACTCAAAGAAACAATTCGAATGCTGTTCAGATAACCTTTGTCCTACATTATGTACCTTTGTTGCAAAAGAAAGGAAGGGGGGGGGAATCAAGCAAACTAATATTTTTATAATTAATGGTAGCAAAAAGTATTTTTAGATCATGTTAGGTTGTTATGAATGCCTGAGAAATATCCTGAAGTACTGGAAAAGTATTTTTAAAAAGCATAAATGCTTACAACTATATCTATGCATTTTAAAATTTGTGGTGTGAAATCTGGTGAATGTTGCAAACTCCTGATGGATTCTGTGGACATCAACCATCACAGGAGTATGTTCCCACTTGGCATGGAATGCTGATAATCATACATGAGTGACTGGCAGTTTTCACTGGTGTATAAATGAGTTTTTGGACATTCACAAAATTCATCTGTGATTATCAACATTCACGTCTGTCAACAATCACGGATGATGATTGCTTATTTTATAATAACATACACATATGTCTACTTCCAAATGTTAATGTTAGACAATGCTCAGAGGAGAACCAGTTCAAACCCCCACTCAGGCAGGAAATTCACCAGGTGATGTGTTCTCTCTCTCTCCCCCCCCCCTAACCTACCTCACAGGGTTGTTGCCAGGACAAAAACAGAGGCAGAGAGTCACATACACCACCTTCGGCTTCTTAGAAGAACAGCAGCACATAAGTGTAGTAACAAATACCTTCACGTTGATTTTATACATCTACTCAGCCTAATACAAAACTGCATGAACAATTAATTTAGTCCAGGAGGGATCATGTTGTGCACCTGCTAGAAGCTGAACAGGTAACAAATCAATTGCTGAAACAATATAAAAGAAGGATCTCATGAAGACTTATGGAAGGAGGGAAAAGTACACACACACACACCCCGCTTACACATGACAAACTATCACAGACCGGGGGGGGGGGGGGGGGGGAGACCAACATAAACATTCATACTGCTCTTACTGTGGACAATTCATCACATCCTAGCAAACTGTAATAATCTTCCATGTCTTCAGGTCTGAAGTTCAAAATTGCATCCATTTGTTTCCGTCTGGCAGGCACTTTCCCTCTTTCTAATGAGCAGGACACGACAGTCCGTAGAGGTCTTCTTAATCCTTGAAAGTAATTCTACGGAAACCACTAGCTGCACTGAGGCTTAAGTTTCCCTACGATTAGCTTTATACACTGAGGTATTACGCGAGTCTCCTAAATCACACCCCTGGATTTGCCACGATTTATTGGTGGAAGAAAACGTTGAGCACTATTCACAGCTGCAAAGCTCTGTGGGATTTGTAGTTTTCAAAACCGGGTTAGAACAATACGTCTGGGTGGTGTATCCTCCAATAAGGACATTTTAACACACCACCAGAGAGAGAGAGAGAGAGAGAGAACTTCTGAGAGTAGACCTGGTTACGATTCCTCCCCAAGTTTTTGAATGAGAGAGAGAGAGAGAGAGCATAATGCCTATTGTCTAGGCACTAGCAACTGAAAGTTTTTATTATTCTTTTACTGTTTCTTTTTTCTTAAAAAGGGGAGGGCACTTAATACTCCTCCATCCATGAGGTACTCAAGCATTTTAAAATATTATTATTGTTATCTCATCAATATTTATTTATTTTATTTATTTTTGGCATTTTTACCCCGCCCTCCCCATGAGGTGCTTTACATGATACCTTGTGCTCTATATGATAAGACCACATAAGGTTGCCAACTCCAAGTTGGGAAATACCTGGAGATTAGGGGGTTATTGCCTGAGGAGGGTGGGGTTTGGGGTGGGTAGGTTCTTCAATGCCATAAAGTCCACCTTCCAAAGCAGCCAGTTTCTCCAGGTGAATTGATCTCTATCGCCTGGAAATCAGTTGTAATCCAAGGAAATCTCCAGCTACCACCTGGAAGTTTGGCAACCCTAGAGATGATCAAGGGGGTAGAAGGCAGAATCTGAAGAGACAGATTTGTGTAATGGTGCCAGTTCCATGGTTCTTTTTTGTTGTTGTTGTTCAATGAAGATTTTAGTTTATTAAGACAAACATAAAAAACATACAAACACAGAACATACACATGAAACATACATGTTGGAGGGGGAACTCTTACATCATTAAGACATCTGTTATTTGTGAAAGGAATAGAAATGATCTGTAATCTGGTATAATTTCCAGACATCAGCTTCCTACTGGGATTGTAGGACTGTAGTGGAAAATACCCAAAGAAAGGAGTTCTCAACAATGTGGGGGCTTTGTGGAAGGATTGCTGTTTTGTTTTGGATTGAAGCGATGCTGATTTTGCTAATCTCTGAGCTGCTGGTAGGTGGAGTCTAAAAGGATTAAACATGAAGCTGACAAAGTCCTGGTGTTGCTTCAACACCTTGTCAGTGAAAGTGAATCCGCTTTCCTGATAACGTAAAAGCCAAAGACAAACATCTGTCTGGAAATACCAAAATATTGGGTACTTTGAAAAGGAACTGTCTTTCCCAACCCTGCTTAAGACTATAAGAGCAGGCCTACTAGGCCTGTTTTGTCCACCATCTTGTTTTCCATGGCAGTTACCCATTTGTCCCAGAAGGCACAGGGCAGAGACCAAATCTTCCGCTGCAGTTTCTCCACCTCAAGAAACTGCTATTTTGGGGGGTGTTTTTTAAAATAATTTTTTTTGTACGTGCGTGTGTGTATGTGTGCACCTGGAATTTTGGTGACCTCTGGTGACTATGTGTGCACCTGGAAGTCATGGTGACCTCTAGTGACTGACCCATACTAAGGGCCTGGAGGATATTCAGAGAGGTGGCTAAGCCTGCCTCCTGCCTCTGGTATTCCTTGGAGGTCTCCCATCCAAATACTTGCCAGAGTCGACCCTGCTTAGCTTCCAAGATCGGGCTTGCCAGGTCAGGACCAGAAATTGCTATTTTGAGGCATACTGCCTCAGAACACGAAGGTTTCATTTACCCAACATGGCTGATGATCACTGATGGACCCACCCTACGTGAATTTGTCTAGTCCCTTTCAAAGTCACCCATGCCAGCAGCCATCACTGCATCCAGCAGCAGTGAATTCCATATTAGCTGGGCACTGTACAAAGAAGGTTGTCATGTGTCCTGAACCTACGGCCCATCACCAGTGTGTTCCAATTGCTGGTGGTCAGGCTGGTCTAGTGCATTTCTGGACATTATTGGGTCCTTGGGGAATGATTCCCTTTTGCTTTATTGTCTGTGTGAATTATGATACAAACTGCTTTAAGTGCAGTCTTTGAAGGAAAAGTGGGAGAGAAATGTTTTAAATAAATGCCACTTTTGCCCCTTGTTATCTTGGACTAATCTTTGTATATTTCCCACACTAGCTCTTCCTTCTCTGGGAATCTCACTTTCTTCCCCACCGAATTTGCCCAAGTGCACCTTGTACACATCATATATTTTCTGCAAAAAGGTCTGTGAAGTAGCCAGGTTCATCTACTACTAGAGAATAACTCATGAAATGAAGATTTCTAGGTAAATGGCCACAATAGCACACATCCTCCACAAAATGTTTAAAATATAACTAGTTCTAACAGAGAAAGGGTGGGACAGGAAGAGGGAGAAGGAGAGACTTCCATCACAGAAAGAACTGACAAGATATAAGTTTGGATAAGAGAAAACTATCAGAGTACTGAAAAGGAAAAGGGGTGACATAAGGAAAACCATGTAGCCTGGCATAAGTACTTGTGTTATTTTGAGTAGCAAATCATGTTGGAAATATGTGTGTGTGTTCCAATGTCTAATTCAGTCATTATAGGGTTAATCTGTTTATTTTGTGTTTCCCTTGTTTACCAGTTTAGGCTGACCTGGAAGGGAAACCTGGTACAGAGCCAATGGGAAGAAAGCCTGGGAAATCTAAGTCTGTTTACTCACAATCATTGGATAATGTATTCAGGTCCCAGTCACACGGCAAAGTTGCCGCGGGAGAGGCACGGATGGTGGGCGGATTATCCAGGCGCGATCACACCCCAACATCTGGAAAGTGGAGCGCAACCGTGGCTTACCGTTGACAATGCGCCTTAAAAAACTAGTACCTCCAAGGTACTAGTAAACGTTTGCCATGGGCTGCCTCCAGACGCCCATGGTGTGATTGTGCTGGCATTCCCCTCTGGTCCCTCGTTTACCTGCCGGCGCCAAGGGAAGGACCTGTGGTGTGCCGCCGGCGCGTCTGATCACGTAATCGCGCATCAAACTGCGCCGGGGCAATTAGCCACGCCTCCCCCCCCCCGGCGATATCTGGCCTGTGTGACCAGGGCCTCGGGTGATTTCCTTCTAGGGGTCAAGAAGAAGAAGAATCTCCATTGCTGTTGTGAGACCATGTGGTCAGTCTGTTCTGTAGCTGTAGAGATGTAGCCTTAGATCTTTGTTATTTTGTAGATTTTCCTGTGTATTTCCTTAGAAATAAAGATTTTTACACAGAAAGTAATGCCTCCTCTCCAGTGAATCAAAGATCCATTGCAAACTCTAAATATCTTGTTTTTGCCAATTTTTCCAACAGATCACCCATAAGATCAGTGGACACTTACATTCTTTGTTGTTTGCTTCAGCAATTAGTCAAACACCAACTGCTCATAGAATTTCATGCATACCTTTGTGGGAAAATATCCTGCATCCTAGAATCCACCTCAATAATTTATTAATGGGGCTACGCTCTACTAATGCTCCAGAGGCTGCAATGCTAATAAAAGACTGGCTAAAGGAAAACTACAAGCACCAGCAAATGGATCTGGCTAAAGTAAGAATAAAAAGTTTGCCATCTCACACCTCGCTGGAATGTCAAACCCGAAAGGGACAGAGACTGGGACAGTCAGATGGCTAGACAGTAGTTTCTTCTGTTTGAGAATAGGCAAACCACAATGAACCCAGAGGACATGGAATCTCAAAGATGAGATTATAAATTCTCAAGGCACAAGGAATATGTGGTCTATTATCTTTTCGCTATGGAAGCACAAGCTATGAAAGGTTATCTAGGGACTCCCTCTTGTCCATATGGTGGCAAACAATGGGGAGAAGTCCCGACTTTGAGAACTAGGGTAACAGTGGATTTTTAAATGCTGTATCATTTAGAATAAGTATAGTGTTTAGAGGATCACATTTTCTTTGTATTCTTGCTCAGCCTGAAGCAAGACCAAACCATGTGTGCTCTTTTTATTTCTGGAATGCTTTAAGCCTGTGATCTCTGTAAACACAGCGCACCTATTTAATCTTGCTTTCTGAAAAGTGATAAAGGAGAGTGGCAACAAGTGAGCTTGCCATCCAGTGAGCATGATAGATCAAAGCTATACTGCTGTAATAGATTGTCCCTGGGCTAGCTAATATGCAAGTGGCTAGGCTGTGCCTCCAAATGGCAACACAGAGTGCTAGATGTGCAAATCCGTCTATGAGACACTCAGATTTTCTGCTGGCAGTGTTTACTAGCATGTTGGACATTTGATATCCTTCCCCCAGGAGTACAGAAGGGATGTTGACATTGGGCAGGGATGTGGGATGGAAGAGGGATTTTTCAGTCTCCTGGGACTCCAGGGAACAGGGCTTGCAAGTCCATTCCTTCAAACTTCCCACCCCCAGTGATCTGAGCTGAAAGCTATTCTTATTTCACTTTACAATACAGACTTTAAAAGGTTTTCCTTGCTCGAAAGCCAGTCGAATCTGACTCTGGGGTGTGGTGCTCATCTCCGTTTCCAAGCCAAAGAGCCAGCACTGTCCGAAGACGTTTCCGTGGTCATGTGGCTGGCATGACTAGACGCCGAGGTGCATGGAATGCTGTTACCTTCCCACTGAAATGGTACCCATTTATCTACTTGCAATTTCTTGCTTGCGCTCACTGTATCATGCGGCACTCGCTAATATGCCGCCAGCTAATATGCAAGTGGCTAGGCAGTGCCTCTAAATGGCAACACAGAGTGCTAGATGTGCAAATCCATCTAGGAGACACTCTCAGATTTTCTGCTGGCAGTATTTACTAGCATGTTGGACATTTGATATCCTTCCCCCAGGAGTACGGAAGGGATGTTGGCATTGGGCAGGGATGTGGGATAGAAGAGGTATTTTTCCAGTCTCCTGGGACTCCAGGGAACAGGGCTTGCAAGTCCATTCCTTCAAACTTCCCACCCCCCAGTGATCTGAGCTGAAAG